AGAGATTTGTTGTTACTTCGATCAACCAGTCTAAGTTTGAAAAGTGAAAAGCCAGCAAGGAAAAGAGCACAGTCCTCTGCGCGAGTGATTTTGTACATACAGATGTAAAGGTATGATAGAATAAAATTAAGAACGAACTAATTACAAAGAACGGCAGCAATGCTTCTTTGGAATGAAATCAATTAGGGTACTCTGACTTTTTCTCTCTTTCTGCGTTGAAGAAGATCAAAAGTTTGCAAATAAGCGACTTGTGTATTTAGTCATTTTGATGACCACAAATTTAGGACCTTTACATAGTAGCATGACTGGTTACAATATAAGTCGTTTTCGCTGCTCGTAATAATATATCCGCAGACAGATCGCATTCGAACGCTCTAGCATAAGGCGCATTCCCCTCTTGAATACAACAGTCTCTGGGGCAAATAATGAACTAAGTGCAACCAATCAAAAGCACACAGCTAGAGAATGAAGCATTTCTTTTACAAAAGATCTGCATCTAGTTTTGCAAGTTCAGTTTCTCATTTTCCAATCTCAATTTATATAACGGATCAATGCATCCAAAGTCTTTAGAGGAAGTTCTGAGTGCTTAATTTACTGCCTTTCATGATATCCAAGTGTTTTCATAAGTCTAATTTCTCTCAGAAATTCGCCTCTGGACACATCATCAGCGCATTCTGGTAGCATTTTCACGGCAACCTGAACTAAATTTTGCAAGAGACATTAGCAACCATGATGAAGACAAAATAATTATAGTGATAGCTAAGACACACGGAGAATTATCTGTCACAAACCTGGCAATTTTTAGCTCTCATCAAATTGACACCTAATGGAGATGTAGGATGCTTCTCTGTAACTGAGTTGCCAAGAAGATTACCTTAAAGCGGTACATAGTGTTACAGTTTTTGCGACTGACCTCGTTCTAAGGTCACTTCTCACCTCGATAAACTGTTCCGAACGCCCCAGAACCGAGCTTCATTTCCTCGTGAATTATTAGATTACGACGATCAATCTCCCAAATGTCATGTCTAAAATTTAGCAAATAGCATATTTAGGTACGCAACAAATTCATCAACATGCCTTGTTATGTTACTAATGTATTGCCTCGCTCTCTCGCTTATTAACTGCGCTAGCTTCAGCTGATACAGTTTATTCTCTTTCTTCTGTTTCCTAGTCATGTGACAGCAGATGATGATAGTAACCAATACCAACAGATTTGCAGCTCCGACAGCGATACCAATGAATATATCCACATGGTCTGGTATAGCTTTAAAGGAAATAAAAATTGTAATTATGGTTCCAAAGCATGATTACGGACTTCTTATAAAAACTTTGTCTGCTCTAGGTTTGAAAGCCCTGCTAGCTCTCGTCAAATCAGGAATGGTTATATTTCTGGGATCCTTCACGGCACAAAACGTTATACCGTATAGTTTATCGTACCGGATACCGGCTACGGCAACGCTGTAGTTGGTGCTCTCCTAAATGTTTACAAAACATGCTATTTCGAGTTAAAAAAAAAGATTCTCAAAATGCGCATCAGTCATGCTTACCAAACAGTAGCCGTTTTCGTCAAATTTCAAACAATTAGTAGCATTACCGATAATGTTTGTTAAATTGACTCCAACAATCGCCTCCTGAAGAAATTTGGAGGAAGTGACATTGAATGAAGGATAATAC